CGTGGCCGCGGGTTCGAGGCCCGTCCGATGTGCGCATACATCAATAAGTGGTTTTTAGTCTATGGTTTACTGGAAATTGCCTTGGAAGAGTTTAGGGGTCCATTTTTACTAGGTCAAGTGCTGCATTCGCCTCGGTAGCTCAGTCGGCAGAGCGCGTGCCTTTTAAGCCCGTGGCCGCGGGTTCGAGCCCCGCCCGAGGTGCGCATATATCATCAAGCGGTTTTCAGTCTATGGTTCACTGGGAATTGTCTTGGAAGAGTGTAACGGTCTATCTTTTACTAGTTTAAGTGCTGCATTCGCCTCGGTAGCTCAGTCGGCAGAGCGCGTGCCTTTTAAGCCCGTGGCCGCGGGTTCGAGCTCTGCCCGAGGTGCGCATACATGATGTATGATACATCATCAAGTGGTTTTTAGTCTATGGTTTACTGGAAATTGCCTTGAAAGAGTTTATAGGTCCATTTTTACTAGGACAAATGCTGCATTCGCCTCGGTAGCTCAGTCGGCAGAGCGCGTGCCTTTTAAGCCCGTGGCCGCGGGTTCGAGCTCCGCCCGAGGTGCGCATACATCATTAAGTGGTTTTTAGTCTATGGTTTACTGGAAATTGCCTTGAAAGAGTTTATAGGTCCATTTTTACTAGGTCAAATGCTGCATTCGCCTCGGTAGTTCAGTCGGCAGAGCGCGTGCCTTTTAAGCCCGTGGCCGCGGGTTCGAGCCCCGCCCGAGGTGCGCATACATCAATAAGTGGTTTTTAGTCTATGGTTTACTGGAAATTTTTACTAGGTCAAGTACTGCATTCGCCTCGGTAGCTCAGTCGGCAGAGCGCGTGCCTTTTAAGCCCGTGGCCGCGGGTTCGAGCCCCGCCCGAGGTGCGCATACATCAATAAGTGGTTTTCAGTCTATGGTTTACTGGAAATTGCCTTGGAAGGGTTTAGGGGTCCATTTTTACTAGGTTAAGTGCTGTATTCGCCTCGGTAGCTCAGTCGGCAGAGCGCGTGCCTTTTGAGCCCGTGGCCGCGGGTTCGAGGCCCGCCCGAGGTGCGCATACATCAATAAGTGGTTTTTAGTCTATGGTTTACTGGAAATTGCCTTGTAAGAGTTTAGGAGTCCATTTTTACTAGGTCAAGTGCTGCATTCGCCTCGGTAGCTCAGTCTGCAGAGCGCGTGCCTTTTAAGCCCGCGGCCGCGGGTTCGAACCCCGCCCGAGTGCGCATACATCAATAAGTGGTTTT